AGACACATCAATGCCCCACTACACCTCATGTCCGTTTGAATGCAAACGGACATCAGACACATCCACACCTCACTACACTATGCCCATTTGCATGCAAAAAAGACATCACACAACTTTGAATGCAAACAGACATCAGGTGAGGTGTGGATGTGTGGCTGATGTCCGTTTGCATGCAAACAGACATGAGTTGTAGTGAGGCATTGATGTGTCTGATGTCCGTTTGCATGCAAATGGCCATGAGGTGTCATGAGGTGTGGATGTGTTCCATGTCCGTTTGCATGCAAACGGACATGAGGTGTGTTGTTTGGAAGTTGGTGACATGTGTGTCTCATGGACATGGATGTGACTCTTGGACCCCTAGGTGACCCTGGGACGGTCAGGTCATGTCTGATTGCGTGCAAAAGGACACGACCATGAGCCATCCACATGTCTGTGTGCATTCAAACAGACATCAGACACATCCACACCTCACCATGCCAACTTCAAAACCGCACACCTCACCAACTTCAAAACAACACACCTCACCAATTTCAAAACAACACACCTCAAGAAATTCAAAACCACACACCTCACCAACTTCAAAACAACACACCTCACCAACTTCAAAACAACACACCTCACCAAAAATTTACACATTGCACCAACATTGATTCAAAAACAACAAAATTGAATCATTGAACAGCTCAACTTCAGACTATAAATCTACATATTTTACAATCTCAACTAAGCAAATCTTACCCATTTCAAAATTACACAAACATAGATTTTATAATCTTTGAATACACAACTCACAAATTTAAATACACCCCATCAATTTAAAGACATCCTTTCAATGTCAACACAACTCACCAGTTTCAAAAAACAAGACTATGCAAACATGTATTTTGCCATTTTTGCCATCTTTGACTACATGTCTTACCATTAACATCAATAATCAAACAGCCCATCACCTTCAACACCGTACATACAGAACAAACTGAACACTGCAATCGAGACAGACATGCAGAAACATATAGCTTTCATGGAGTGGCCTAAAATTACCCACCCACCTCCTGATGAAAGCTGTTTGAAAACTAAAAGAATTAGCTGATGTAATATCTGATTAGAAGCCAAACTCAGAAATAAAAAACCCAGCTGTGTTCCCACATCAAACATTTGGTCTATGGCTCCACCAATCAAACAATTACATGTGGATCCACATACAAAATCTAAATTGTGGCTGAATGCATTAGGATATGGCCCCACCTACCAGATACTGATGTGAAGCCCCACATTCCAAAACATTGTTGATGGTGGACTTGGCTGAACATCATGACTCTTACAAGTCATCATTTTCTGGGAGGAATTCCCCCACACTGCGGAAAACCTTAAGATACTGCCCTTGAAATACAGACACTTGTGAAAGTTGGGTTGCTACTCATCTGTTACTCAACCATTAATTCAGCCATACTACAATGCAAATCTACTGTGCAGAATTTTTTTGCATTGGAAATGATTTCAAAATGACACAAATTATGTTGGGAGTAACCTGCATGTCAACTGCTACCAGTTTGGTGAGAAGATGGCAAGAAAATTTGAAAAAGTTTAAAAATGATTGCACCCTAAGGGCCTGTACCATAGCACCTCAGCCAATTTCCATTTCCATTTTTTATCTTTTTATTTTTCACTAACCAAAATTCATTTTGGGGTTGGCACTGAAAATCTGTCTTCTGCACTGTGCAAAATTGGGTGTGCATGGTATATGGTCACCATTTCTGGCAGAGTCAGTTTCCAACCTGGAAATTGGGAATTCACCTGAAAATTGGGGCTGTGGCACAGTCCCTAAATATATAAGCAGAAGTTCTGTAAAATTTCAAGTCCTCACAGATTTTGATCAAGAACTAAAGTGTTCATATTTTTTCAGAAAAAATCTGGCCCTCAAGGCCCTTGATGAAATGATAAATCTGTAGGGTCCTCAGATTTTGATAGTAATTCCTACATTTGGAGGTCTGCGCATCAAATCTGTGTCCCTTGCCAATGTTGAGCTAGGGCCAAAAATTCTAGATGCATGTGAGGGATCACGGCCTTCAAGGCCTAATTCAACTCTACAGGGTCTACAGATTGTGTGATTCTTGATGATGGCCCTTTAATATTATCATATCATGAAAAAAAATGTACAATTTCCAGTGAATCAAAAAATAAGTTCCCCAGGAAATTCAAGGGAACTTCATATTATATTATGAGTGAATTGATTTTCTACTTCAGTGAAAAACAAAGTCAACTCATTTTCTGACTTTGTGAATTTAATGAGAATTTTGGTTTCCATCCAAAATATTTTTTGAGCAACTTTGAATGAAATATTGGTGAATTGCAGTCACTGGCAGTCCAGTGCCCTGGAATTTCCCCTGGTGCTTATTGTACGGCACAACATCTCTCGAGTCGAATGTCTTCCTCCCTTTTGTTACTGTTATGCCCGTTTTGCGTTGTCGGTAGGCAGGATACGATCCTTCCACGAAATCGGTTTTGGTTCTGAACTCTTTCGGATAACGGTACTTGCATCTCCCGTTAATGAAGCAAGCTCGACCTTCACACGGTCCATGCAACATGCATCTTGTGACGATATCATGCAATCTTGGTTCCTGCTCTTTGGTTGGGATTTCAGCACAAACCAAAGCATCGACTGGGCTGGACTCGTTGGGCAAGAGTTCTCATCCAGAGTAAGCATCATATGGATGTGTGGAAGTCCACGTTTCTGGAACTCGATCGTATAAACGTAGGACACAACTTTTCCTAATCTATCCATCTTCAACAATTGACGCAAGTACTCTTTTGTCTTCTGGTGGAACACACGGGCAATTTCTGTTGGGTGGTTCACAGGATCATCGCCTTCAGGTATCTCAGCTTTGATTTCGGGCCAGTTACTGTTGGCTGTCATGGTGAGAAAGAGGCTAGGGGCTCCAAATTCACGAACAAGGGCCATCGCATCTTGGAACAATTGGGATAGCAAGCAAGGACCGCCAATAAATGTCGAAGGCAGAACGATCCTTTTCCCTGTCCCACTGTCTTGGTTCTCAAATGATTCGACAATTCCATTGTAAATTTGGATCTGAAGTTTGTCTTGATTATTCTTGAACCAATTCAACCGAGATCTTTCAACACATATATACATATCTACTAAAAATTCTTGGAAAAGTGATTGACCGAGGAGGATACTTGAGAACGTGTTCCGACGGGCAAATAACAGGTATGCAAACCATTCAAGTTGTGATACTTTCCGACCTGTAAAAGAATCATCAGCTGAATACTCAAACATATAAAAATGTCAAACGCACATTTCCCGACGCTGGCTCTGTATGTTGGTTCCCATTGTTGTGAACCGTAGAGAAAAAATAATGGGTACCGTAGTGGGAAGTACGCGGAATGAAGATCACTGATATATTGAAGTTGACCGGAATGCGTGGTCAGCTGTATTTGTCTCTTATCTTTAATGAGACCTGAACCTGAGACTATGAATCCAATCTCATCAACGGTTGGTTTTTTATAGCGTTTGTTGTTCTTGCCCAAGTATTTGACTGAGGTGAAAACTAATTTTGTTGCACGATTTTTGAGAGTGATTTCGGAAGCGGATTTGAAAGCTTTCGCATAAGGATTATGCTCGTACATGAACTCTTGTAACTGCTTAACTATTTCTGGATCCAGGGAGATCGCATGGATCGGAGTCTCAATTGAAGACAAAGTGGCAGCTCTCATCCTAGAATGAACCTCTGCTTCGCCCCCATCACCTACAACAAAAATTTGCGTGAATTTCGGTGATTCGCCTTCAGCTGGAATTATATCACCAATCCGGTGGCCAAGACTTCCTTTGATTGTGAATACACTCGGCCCGGCACCACCATTATTTTTCTGTTTGAAGGTTGTACCCAGAGATGTGAAGGATATACTGTTGTTATATGCTCGGATGAGTCGTTGGAAATTCTTTGCGCCTAAATCTCGAATAAAAAAAATTAAGTATAAATTGTTCTGAAGTTAGACAAATAAGCTTTCTGTGTACGATTAGTTTTGCTTGTCAACAGCTCTTTCATCCAATCAGGTACCGTCGGCGTCAACGGATCCGACATGGGCAAATCGACTTGGCCCTTTTGGCAGCATATTGAATAGATGCTCCGATTTCGATTGTTGGCCTCAAGAGTTCTCTCCTCTTTCCAGTGCAAGGCTTTACAGCCAATGCATTCATCATTACACGGGCCTAAGGTGTACGGAAATTCAAGCCCTCGGAGTAATAAGATATGAGACTCAGTATTTAGATTGGCAGTTAAAGCGGCGGCGCCAGGTTGCTCCATTTCAGAAATGTGACAAAGATAATATTTTCGGAGGCGATTTTGAAGGTTGGGAAATGTTTGTCGCAGCTTGAGAGACAGCGTCTTGCGGAGTTTATTGCAAGAAGAACTTATATGTTCCACTCGTTTTCATGACTATTTGAAGTGGAAAGCACTCATACTCTTTTTCCGAAAGGGGTAAGGAATCAACATATTGGTAGATAGGTTACATCATTGGGAAGGCAAGGGGCATTTTTGCCAACTGTATTATGGATAAGAGGACCAAAAAATTAACAAGAACAGGGAGACGCTTGAGCATACTCGAAACATCTTCCCTTCACCCTTGCTGGTGATGACAGTGCCGGTTCAATAATAAATAAAGAAGAATCTAAAATGAGAAAGGGAGGTCATTATTGAAATCGACAAGTTAAAGGAAGAGGTCAACAGTTTGAAAGTGTGAGGGCTCAAGAGCGCGGTTTTGAAAATGGGAACATTTGGTTTCAGACAGAGGACAGATGAGGCATCTTCAGACAGATTGAAGTATCCATACTCTGATGAATCACAGGATACGAGTAGAAAATTAGAAGGAGGAGAACGATCCCATGCCGTTGATTATTTTTGATTGTCTTGTGAGGCCATTTTGCCTCGTTTGCGGGGCGAGGGGGAAGGTGCAGCGGTTGCAAGGGAATTGACCTCTTGCACTTGTGCAAATCGCGAGCTCCCAGCGATCGGACTCCCTTGAGAATCGGCTACAGGATTATCGCTCGGGGTGATAGGGCCGTGTAACCCCTCAGGCGCTGGTCCTTCTTGGTTCCCTCCAATTGAAGGTTGTTGAGCTTGTGCTGCGCGATTGGGGGCTTGATAAACGCATGCCACCCCCCCTGGCGCACGCCAAACCGCACGCCAGGTGGGGATTGGCGTGCACGCCTGCACGCCAAAGAAAATTGGCGTGCGGGCCCGCACGCCAATCTACAGAGTGTAGACCGGCGTGCAGGCCTGCACGCCAAGCATTCGCCGCCGTCCCATAGGACCCAGGCATGGGTCCTATGGGAAGGCCCCTTTTTTTCATTTGATTTCATTTCATTTTTTTTTTTTTCAAATCCCCTCGGCCTAAAGAGGCCGAGGTCACACCGGCTCGTCGGGAGGGGTTCCTCCCGGCAAGCTGGTTTCTTTACCAGCTCGTCGGAAGGGTTTCCTTCCAACGATCTGGAATAGGAACCAGCTCGTCGGAAGTATTCCCTTCCGACGAGCCGGT